GGAGACAACTTACAGCTGCGCTCACAGAAGGGAAACAGGACTCATGAGACATTCGCAAGGCACATTCATGTGTCTCTAGTCTTCTCGGAGTTTAACAAGTCACAAAGATTGTTATGCGTGTGTTTTAATCAACAGTGTCTATCTGAGATGAGTGAAAGGAATGGGTTGGACCACAGAACACCCGTGATTTTACCAAAGCAGAAATGTAAGAATTCCCTTTGAACGGGAACTCTAAAAATAGCATTTTCCTCCCTTGCCTAATTCCATCCTAGACGGATGCTCCCACGGCTTTAAAAATTATTTTGCCATGCAGACGCCATAAGCCATTAAACAGCCACGACTGTGATAACGACCATTTTGCAAACATCCGTTTCATTAGCGTGACGAACCCCGCTGTGTTTCTTGTGTACCCTTAACGATGCTAGAAGGGCTCTGGGCAAGGGAATGGCAGTGGAGAAGGGACTAATTTGACAACGTGAATTCCTATCGAAGTTTCTCTGCCGCAAAGATGCCCGAGCCATTGCCACTAACAAGGAAAAATAAGACCCTCGTCATCGGCATGTACGCCCAGTTCCCTGGGAGCTGCTTCATATGGTGTGCTTCTGTGCAGCTGTGGTATATGTGTGACCACTGCACTCATCCGTACGCATTCAGGTCTCATTTATTCTCTGAGCGTTTTCTACAACAGAAATCATTTGGGCATATGAACACGACAGCCATTGGCATTGTCCCGTTTGATACAAAATCACAGCGCTGAGGCTGTGTAAAAAACACAAATGGACATATAAAGTCCTGAAGATAATCTAATTCAAAGTTTGTGATAGAAACAACTAACATCTAAAACATTCATACATATTCAATATGATCTCTTCCTGTACAGCCACAAGGTGTTCTCTGAAGCGGTCAGTGGCTAATATAGTCATACATATTCAATATGGTCCACAAAGGACTCCTTAAATACAATTCAGTATATTAAGAGTACAGTCAAGCCCTCTTCCTGTACAGCCAAAGTCTTCTCTAAAGTGGTCAGTAGCGACAAATGCCCATGTTCTCTTTGTTTCAGTGTTTCCTTTCTTCAGGCCACCTTCCGAAAGAACGGTTAAAAAAGGACTTCAAGCAAGTAACCCATTGCAAAGAAATTACATGCAGATAAACTCAAGTAAATTGAACTCACCCTGCCAAGTTCACAAAACTGACTGTGACAACAAGTCTACAAGACTTCTAGCTGACTTGAAGTGCAGGCTTCTAAGCAATGAAGTCAGTATGCAGTTACGTAGAGGCACTGTATTATAATTACCTGCAGCTGAAACAGCACTGTTCCAGATGATGGCACATGATCACACATGAAGCTGCATTATACGGAATCAGAACTCGGTCCCTCTCCATGGCCCTTTACAGTCTTAGGCAGAGGTCATCACCTACTGCCTGGTCCTTTTCACTGGAGATCCCAGGGATTGAATTTGTGACTGCAGATGCTCTACCACTGAGTCAAAGCCCCTTCCCTTTGCCTTATACGGAATCAGACCTTTGGTCCATCAAGGTCAGTATTGTCCATTCAGACTGGCAGCGGCTCTCCAGAGTCTCAGGTAGAGATCTTTCACATCACCAGAGAACATAAGAGAAGTCATGTTGGATCAGGCCAGTGGCCCCTCCAGTCCAACACTCTGTGTCACGCAGTGGCCAAAGCCCAGGTGCCACCAGAAGGTCCACCAGCAGGGCCAGAACTCCAGAAGCCCTCCCACCATTGCCCCCCAAGCACCTACCTGATTCTTTTCAGTGGAGATACCAGGGGTTGAACCTGAGACCTTCTGCATACCAGGCAGATGCTCTTCCACTGAGCCTGTCCACAATGAAATCTTCCTAGGACTTTTAAAAAGCTAAGAAGTGTAGCATCAGGTTGTGTCCTGGGTTTGCATAAGGGCTCCCCTGCGCCCTGCTTAGGGCCAATAGTAGCTGAGAGGGGGAGATTTATTATTAGTATAACTGTGTGGTGGAAGGCCTAGTCCTTTCTCCTACAGGTTCTTTCAGAGCTGTTCTCTCACAAGCAGTCCTCAAAAGTGCTCTCTCAGCCCCACATACCTCACAGCAGGGCTATTTTTGGGCAGGAACGCACAGGAACAGAGTTCCGCCTGGCTCCTGAGTTGGCCACGCCCAGCAGGAACTCATTAGCATAATAGGGCACACCCAACAGCAGAAACTCATTAGGATTAGCTACATTCGGGGTGTGTGGCCTAACATGCAAAGGGTTCCTGCTACAAAAAAAGCCCTGGACCGTTTTGACCACAAACAAGGTCAACAGAATAAGAAGCAAAAGGTGGGTGTGGCTGGATGACCACACTTCTGTTGACATGGGGGTGTGGCCTAATATGCTAATATGCTGTGCTGTCAGGGTGTGCCCTACTATGCTAATTAGTTTCTGCTGTTGGGTGTGGCCTGTTATGCTAATGAGCTCCTGCTGGGCTTTTTCTACAAAAAAAGCCCTGCCTCACAGGCTGTCTGTTGTGGGGAGGGGAAGGGAAAGGTAAGCCGCTCTGAGACTCCGAGTGAAGGGCGGGGGTATAAATCCAACCTCTTCTTCTTCTTCAGTGATGGAACACACACTTGATCAGCCCAGAGTCCCGGTTTGATATTTGTTCTCTGTAGCTACAGGCTTGAAACTGGCCTTGCCGGCTGCCCCGATGAACTCTGTTGCCTGTGATCCTTGTGATCCAGCACAGCATGTAAGGACACATCCACTTGATAACACACAGTTGCCATTTTGTGTGAAATGGGCAACATGCTTATTCTCCATCTTCGGTACACACATGATCGAAAACCCAGATTGGGGGCGGGGGGCAGAGGGCTATTTCCAGTTTTATCATGCTCTGTCCATTTTAGATTGGGATTTGTTAACCACCTTGAGCCATGATGGAAAGGTGGCTTATAAATATGTATACAAAGGAGTGACCATGCATATCAGTCTTTTTTGGTGAATATTTTGTATGCTTGTCCATGTGCGTGTGTGCCTGGTATTCATGGCTGACTTCTGGCAACCCCTAGTGGGACCAGGACATTTCAGAGAGGCGGCTTGATTGCCTGCCTCTGCATCCCGGTCCTGGTATTCCTTGGAGGTCTCCCATCTAAGTACCTGCCTGGGTTGGCCCCACTTAGCTTCTGAGATCTGATGAGATTGGACTTGCCTGGGCTATCCAGGCCAGGGCGACCATGCATATTAGGCTGGTTGCGCTTTCCGATTGCATGAGGTCATTGCACCAAAATCATAATGACTGAATGGGGCTAACAAGAGCCGGCCATTCTGTAGGCCACATAGCCATCAGCGAACGTTTGTTAGAACTGTACATGTCTGCCGTTAGTACATTCAAATCTGCCGCATAGGCATGGCGCGAGAAAATCCAATTAGATATGCAGTGATTCGTCAGTGGTTTCATGTCACAGTGACAACATATTTAAGGCTGCCTCTGTACTAATTTAGAGGATGGGCTGAGATGAGGTAATTAGTGGCGTTCTTTTAAACAGACAGGACTTTGCTCCTTTGATCCAGGTGGGTAGCTGTGTTGGTCTGAAGCAGCAAAACAAAGTTTGAGTCCAGTGACCCCCCAAGCACCAAGAAGACAGAGCATCACTTGCCCCAGAGCCCCTATCTATACCTTGTGGCTAATAGCCACTGATGGACCTCCGCTCCATATGCTTATCTAATTCCCTTTTGAAGCCATCCATGCTTGTAGCCGCCACCACCTCCTGTGGCAGTGAACATCCGTTTCATCCAGGGCCTTGCATTCCCATCTTAACTCTCTGACCTTCTCTTATCTACGTAGATACCAGTCCCCGTTCTTTTATCCTTCCATTCTTGCTCATCAGCCACCAAAAGGTCTCCTGCCTCCAATAAATGGGTCTGGCCTTCTCTCCTGCATGACGTTGCCAGCTCCCAGTTAGGAAATTTCTAGAGATTTCAGGGTGGAGCCGGGGCGGGGGGGGACAGGGTTTGGGGAGGAGAGGGACCTTGGTGGAGTATAACACCATAGAGTTGACCAAAGCACAGGGCCGGCCTCAGCTTATTTTGCACCCTAGGCGAGGATCCCTTCTGGGGCCCCCCCATGCACCGGGTTCAGCAAAAGAGCTTCCCCGGCTGAGGAAATGCAGGGCTTTTGGCGGTTGGGGGGCTTTTGGCGGGGGGCAGCGGGTGCAGTTTGGCACCCCTAAGGGCCAGCCCGCTCTAGGCGAACACCTAGTTCGCCTAGTGAGCGAGCCGGCCCTGCCAAAGCAGAGTTTGTTCCAGAGCCCTCCTTCCTGAGCTAAGACAAAAATGTGTGGAGGGTAAAAAACTGTGAGCTAGCTCACACTAACTCAGCTTAGAGGGAACACTGCTTCAGGGTATGCGTGAGAGATTTAAAACAGGAGAACAGTGCAAGGAAAAGAGTTATATGTCCCTTTCCCCCATTCAACTTTCCCTAACCTGATTGCCCCCTGCAGCTTCTTTGAGCTAATTGGCACAGGGTTGCCAGCATCCAGGTGGGTATTACTACAACAGAAGAGGCACGGTGCGGAAGGCAATATTCAAATACTAAAGCACCGTGTCCAATGAATAGCATATTAAGATTGAAATAAACACGTATAACTTATATAAACAATATTGGTATAGTGTCAATTGCTGTAAAGGTACAGTACATTCACAAGCTTGAATAATACGAACAAAAGAAAACTGATGCACAGTATTTCAAATAAAGTTAAAAATAAAATGGAGTTACTTTTATGAGGCTTTGTAACAATGTGAGCTGGTTGTAACACCTGGTATGTGTTGTAGCACATCGTCCATTACATACTTTGGCCCCGGTCACACCGCAGCAAAAGAGAAGCGCGGCAGCGGGATCAGACAGATCCCCCGAGCCGCCGCGCATATGCTCCCCAGCGTGATCAGATGCCGAGGGGGAAGCCACGGACAGGAGAGCGAGGTGAGTCAGCTGTGCATGTGTGCGCATGCGCAGTTCGGCAGGGGGCCACGCATGCTGTGGGAGACGGGCGCATTGGCGATCACACGGCAGCCCGTGCTGCAGGTTTTCCAGTAGGTAGTAGTGTTTTGCGGGGTTTTTTTAAATTTAACTCCGCATCTTCGGCCAGAAGGGATGGGTTGGGGGCAGGGGTGCGACGCTTGCCAGATGTTGGCATCTGATCGCGCCGGTTTAATTCGCCCTCAATCCGTCCGTTCCGTGGGGCAAATCCTCCTGTGTGACCAGGGCCTTTGTAAGGTTTTTCTGTTTTTCATCAAAGAAAATTGAGGTGAGACCTGATGGAGGCACACAGAAATGGGATCCTTCTGACTGGCTTCCCCTTGTCTTGCAAGCTTCATGTTGTGAACCTGGCAAAGCTTTGAAGTATTAATCTCTTGAAATATTGTGCATGAGCTTTCTTTTGTTCATATTATTTTAAGCTTGTGAATGTACTGTACCTTTACAGCAATTGACACTATACCAATATTGTTTATATAAGTTATACGTGTTTATTTCAATCTTAATATGCTATTCATTGGACACGGTGCTTTAGTATTTGAATATTGCCTTCCGCACCGTGCCTCTTCTGTTGTAGTAATACCCACCTGGATGCTGGCAACCCTGTGCCAATTAGCTCAAAGAAGCTGCAGGGGGCAATCAGGTTAGGGAAAGTTGAATGGGGGAAAGGGACATATAACTCTTTTCCTTGCACTGTTCTCCTGTTTTAAATCTCTCACGCATACCCTGAAGCAGTGTTCCCTCTAAGCTGAGTTAGTGTGAGCTAGCTCACAGTTTTTTACCCTCCACACATTTTTGTCTTAGCTCAGGAAGGAGGGCTCTGGAACAAACTAATTTATGCAGTAGCCAAATCCCTTGCTCACAACTTTTAAAGCCAGTAGCTCACAAAGTAAAACTTTCGCTCACAGCACTCCACAGCTTAGAGGGAGCATTGCCAAGTAGTGGTACCTGTCCGGTATATGTATTTCTGTCCTGAGGCAAATAGCTGGGGTGGGGGGTGTCTTTCAGGTCAGGAATAGGTCACAGGGGGAAAGCGTGAAAGGAGGAATGTTCAGTCTGGAGAAGAGGAGGTTGAAGGGGGGACAGGATGGCTCTCTTGAACTATTTGAAGGGCTGTCACTTCGAGGAGGGCAGGGAGCTGTTCCTGTGGGCAGCAGAGGAGAGGACTGACAGTCGTGGGTTTAAATTAAGGGCGGGGAGACACCAGCTGGATGTTAGGAAAAACCTTCTTCTTACAACCAGAGTAGTTCAGCAGTGGAATCGGCTGCCTCGGGAGGTGGTGAGCTCCCCCTCCCTGGCAGTCTTTAAGCAGCGGCCGGACAAGCCCTTGTCAGGGATGCTCTCGGCCGGTCCTCCCTTGAGCAGGGGGTAGGACTAGATGGCCTGTCTGGCCCCTGCCAACTCTGTGATTCTAGGATTCTATTATTCTGTCTCCTTCCCAAGCACTGTTTGCTCGACTCTCCCTCCCCCATAGCTGCGTTGAGCTTTAAAATGAGTCCTGCCGGCGATCCACTCAAAGATCTCCAAGAAGCATCTCAGCTAGCTTAGAGATAAAGTCTTCTTCCTAAGTGAACACCAGGAACAGTCTTCCTCTTGTGTCCGCACCTGTCCTTTCCCATATGCCAAGAAACGCATCTTTTTCTGCTGGGGGGCCTAAGACAGATCTCTGCTGAAAGACCTCGGCTTCCAAACGTGATTGAACGAAGGTCACTGAACAAAGGCGGAGGGAAGTGATTCGTGTCCTCCTCACCCCTTTCTCTGTCTCCCATTCCCTCTTTCAGAGCCATGTTTGACTACGACAAAAGCAAAGACAGCGGCCTCCCGAGTCAGGGTCTCAGCTTCAGGTACGGAGACATCCTCCACGTGATCAACGCTTCCGATGATGAATGGTGGCAAGCCAGAAGGGTCATGCAGGAGGGGGACAGCGAAGAGATGGGTGTTATTCCCAGCAAAAGGAGGTAGGTGTGACATTTTTTTGTGGGGGAGTTGTTTTCTGTGCCAAGAATTCACTGAAGGGTGTGTGTGTGTGTTCTGTGCTGTCGAGTTGCTTCCACAACTTATGGCAGCCCTATGAATGGATCAAGACGGGTGGCTGTGGTTGTCTGGAGCAGCAGAAAACAGCCAGAGTCCAGGAGCACCTTAAAGACTATCAGAATTTTTGGCAGGGGAGGAGCTTTCAGGAGTCACTGCTCACTTCTAGAGATCTGAGGAAGTGAGCAGTGGCTCATAAGAACATAAGAACATAAGAGACGCCAATGTTGGATCAGGCCAAAGGCCCATCCAGTCCAACATTCTGTGTCACACAATGGCCAAAAATACCAGATGCCATCAGGAGGTCCACCAGTGGGGCCAGGACATTAGAAGCCCTCCCACTGTTGACCTCCCCCCAAGCACCAAGAAGACATAGCATCACTTGCCCCAGAGCCCCTATCTATACCTTGTGGCTAATAGCCACTGATGGACGTCTGCTCCATATGTCTATCTAATTCCCTCTTGAAGCCGTCCATGCTTGTAGCCGCCGCCACCTCCTGTGGCAGTGAATTCTATGTGTTAATCACTCTTTGGGTGAAGAAGTACTCCCTTTTATCCGTTCTAACCCGACCGCTCAGCAATTTCATGGAGTGCCCACGAGTTCTTGTATTGTGAGAAAGGGAGAAAAGTACCTCTTTCTCTACCTGTTCCCGAAAGCTCATACCTTGCCACAAATTTTGTTAGTCTTTAAGGTGCTACTGGACTTTTACTGTTTTCTACTGCGATGAATTAGTGACCAAGGAGGCCAGGTTTGCTGTAACCAGGGCCAGAGCTTTTTCGGTGGCGGCTCCTCCCTGGTGGAACGACCTCCCAGAGGAGATCCGGGCCCTGCGGGACCTTGTGCAGTTCCGCAGGGCCTGCAAGACGGAGCTCTTCCGCCAGGCTTTTGAGTAGGAGCCACCAACGTCATGACGCCGGGCACGCTGGGGGCGGGGCCACGGCCTTACAAGGGAAAACTCTATGGTTTTCCCTCGGATGGTCGTGGCCCCGCCCACAGCATGCCCGGTGTGGTCACATCACTTCCGGGTGACGTGGATGCAGCACGCGCGCACTCCAGCCACCAGCCGGGAGTCCCCCGCTGCGGCAAAAATCAGACTTGGCAACCCTACTACCAACTGGCCCTGTGACGAGTGAACTACAGCGCTGTGTGGAGCTGACGCCACTGAACTTGGAGCACCATCCCCAGGATGGCATCTTTTTACTGAAGACAGATCTTGAAAAGTCTAGAGCACTTTGTAATATTGTAAATGATTGTCTTATTTTGCTTTTAACTTGTTTCGTGTATTGGCATGTGCCCTATTTGTGAGCCACCCTGAGCCCGCTTGCATGGAGGGCGGGCTAGAGATCGAATAATAAATAAATAAATGACCTCCAAAATGTACTGCTGTTGACAGTCTCGCTCAGGTCTTGCGAACTGGAGGCCGTGGCTTCCTTTTATTGAGTCAGTCCATCTAGGTTCCTCCTCTTTTCTTACTGCTTTCAGCTTTTCCTAACAGTATTGTCTTTTGCGGTGGCTCTTTGTCTTCTACTAAAAGGAAATTCGCAATTCCATGATTAAGACAAGCCAGATGGCCAAAGTCGTTCCTTTTCCTCTGTGTGTTCGAGGGCACATATCACAGTGGCTTTCCAGCATACGTTACCTCCAGGAAAACCTATGCACAATGATTTGTCTATGTGGAACCTCCTCTATGTTGAAAAAGAAGACGCCGAGGAGGAAGGAGGAGGAAGAAGAAGGAGGAGGAGATTGGATTTATAGCCCGACCTTCACTTGGAGTCTCAGAGCGGCTTACAATCTCCTTTCCCTTCCTCTCCCCACAACAGACACCTTGTGAGGTAGGTGGGGCTGAGAGAGCTCTGAGAGAACTGCTTGTGAGAGAATAGCCCTGAGAGAAATGTAACTGACCCAAGGTCACCCAGCAGCTGCATGTGGAGAAGTGGGGAATCAAACCGAGTTCTCCAGATTAGAGTCTGCCGCTCTTAACCACTACACCAAAGAGGACCCTAGGAAGATGTTTGGTGGTGTGTGTTCAAATCACCTGTGCCTGTTGGGTCTTACCATCATTCTCCATGGCTTGGAACTATGTCAATCCAACATGGGTGAGTAAGAGACACACAAGTGGGTCATGCTTTGATCAAAGGTGATTGTACCCGTGATACTGCTGCTGTTTTCAAAACAAGTGACGGTAAAGGCAATTCCAGTTGTGTAGCTGTGTTGGTTTGTAGCATTCAAACAGAACAAAGAGTCCAGTGGCACCTTAAAGAATCAACGGTGGGTGCTGGAGTCACATCTCTCAAAGACTTCTGTTCTAGAACATGCCAAAATCTGATGTAGGGATGGCCACAGGAATAAACAACTTTGAAAGGGGATTAGATAGATTCACGAAGGATAAGTCTATCAATGGCTACTAGCCATGGTGACTGAGGGGAACCTCCACATTCAGAGGCACTAAAACTCTGCATCCCAGTGCCAATGCTACCTCTAAGCTGTGGAGTCTTGTGAGCAAAAATTCTACTTTGTGAGCTACTGGCATTAAAGTTGTGAGTGGGTGATCTGTCTACTGAATAAATTAGTCTGCTCTGGAGCCATCCTTCCTGAGCTAAGACAAAAATGTGTGAACTGGAGGGTAAAAAACTGTGAGCTAGCTCACACTAACTCAGCGTAGCGGGAACACTGGCCAGGAGGCAACATCAGGGGAAGGCCTCAGCCTCTATGCCCAGATGTTGGCCATCCAGAGGAACTGGTTGGCTACTGTGTGAGACAGGATGCTGGACTAGATGGACCCTTGGTCTGATCCAGCAGGAGTCTTCTTACATTCTTATGTTCTGGGACTGTGCACTGCATGAGGAGATCACTAGTAGGCCATCTTTTATTGAACTTCTCCATGAGGGCTCCTGAGAAGCTTCTAAGGAATTCTACAGGAATTCTTCTGGAAAACAGCTTGAAATATACTCATTATTTAAGTCCTCTCAAGGAGTTTAGGGCAGCCTACGTAGGGATGAACATCTGAAGGTGTCTTGTACCACATCAGCCCACTGGTAGGTCCTTCCAGCTCAGCATCATCCGCAGGTTATCAAGGTTTGAACCTGGGGACCTTAATGCTGACTACAAAATATTTGCCTCCATATTAGCAAGCAGATTAAAAAAAGTTTTGGTGCACACGATACATCAAGATCAATCTGGATTCCTACCCAAAAGGCAAATGAGAAATAATATAAGGATCATAATAGATGTTCTAGAATATTATGAGGAGCATCCAGAGAAGGAGTTAATGCTAATTTTTTTAGATGCGGAAAAAGCATTCGATAACCTGTCATGGGATTTTCTACTACAAAATACCAAGCCACATTGCTTTGCTGGGACCCCAGAGGTCAAGGTCAAGGCAGGAGGGCATTGTTCGGTCAGGAGCAGTTTTCTGACCGAACCCCAAATGCCTGAGCACTTCACTGCCCTGTAAAATGAGCTATTGTAAATCCGAAGAAGCAAACCTTTTTCTATTCCTTCTAAAAAGACTAATGCCTTCCATGTACAACTAATTTGACTACGCTTCAATCTTGACAGTTGCCCTCACAAAATCCAGTTTCAGGTTTAGAATATAAACATCAGGATGGGTGGCCTTGTTTGTCTGTAGCCGCAGAAAAGAGCAAGAGCCCAGCAGCACCTCAAAGACTAACAGAATTTGTGGCAGGGGAGGAGCTTCCGTGAGTCACTGCTCTCTTCTTCAGATACCAAAGAATTATCTCTCTTCTTCAGATACCGAAGTATCTCTCTTCTTCAGATACTTCTTCAGATGTCCAGCAGTCACTCACAAAAGCCCATCCCCTGCCACAAATGTGTCAGTCTTTGAGCTGCTGCTGGACTCTTGCACTTTTCTAGAATACAAACATATTAAGGCCCCAGTTACACGGAAGTTTTGGGCCAGGAGAGGGACGGATCGGGGGCGCAGCAAATGGGCGCAATCTCACCGCAACATCTGGGAAGCGGCGCGCACCCATCCCCGATCTGGCCCTTCTGGCTGAAAACCCACTGCAAAAAAGAACCACCCTAGAGGTGGACTTACCTGAAAGGCCGCGGCAAGCGCGGCCATGGGATCGCCGGCGCATCCTTCTGCCGGCGCATCCGAGGCTCCTGGCCGAACTGCGCATGCTCACACATGCGCAGTTCAGCAGCCTCCCTCTCTGTTCCGTGGCTTCCCCCGGCATCTGATCCTGCCAGGGAGGAAATGTGCGGCTGCTCAAGGGATCTATGTGATCCCACCGCCGCGTGTTTCTTTTGGTGCGGCTTTGCCCCCCCCCCCCCC